AGAAAAAGCATAGGGTGAGGACTTGGGTTCTATCCATCGGCTGTCGATTAAGCTTGTAGTCGATTATAAGAAAGTCTGTTACTGTATAAAATGGAGTTAAAAATGTTTATATGCATGAATGAATTGTTCACAATAAGATCAATAACATGCATTTAGAAAATAAGATGGGGTGAATTTTTATTTCCTGTTGACTTTAATGGATTATATGACCACTTTCATGTTGCTTTATTTTCTTCATTGGAGCTTGACACACTTTGGTGCCTTGAATCAGTGTTTCCCAACCTTTTTTTAGTCGCGGCACCCTTTGGAAATTTTAACAAACTTGTGGCACCCTACAAAATTAATTTTGTCACAATATTTGAATTTCTAACTTCGATATGATAATTTGAAAAGTATAGATATTCGGTACAACAGGGAAGAACTGCGGAATATAATGTCATACAGATATTTTTAATATTATAAAAAAAATGTGTCCCTCAATGGTGCAATCAGTAGGCTAATTTCTAATGAAGAGACCAATTTATATGACAGATTTTAATGTAGGCTTTTATACATACGTAAACATTATTTAATTACCATTATAACTAGCTATCTCACAAATTTTTTGCTCACTCTGTGTTTTTTTTATTTTACAGTGGGGTAATTTTGGTGCAGTAGCACGAGATAGCTTGATTTCAAACTTTGAATTGAATAAAAAATGACAAGTAAGCAGTCAGTAATAAAATAAGAACAAATAAAGAAATTAATAATGATAGCACAAATAAAAAATAACGACAGGCCTTCGAATTAAATAAATTGCTTTTTAGTTTTTCAGGTAGGTCTAACAGTAAGGTTAAGATATTTAACTTTTTTTTTTACCAATTATCCAAATAATGTTTAGTCCTAGAAAGCTATTATTATCAGAACACGTGAGCATAACATAGCGGTTAGCAGATCAATGAATGAGAGGGCAGCGTTACCAGAGTTGCCCATATACCACACCATGTTACAACACAGTAGGGCTATTGCAGACAGAAACAATACTGTACTACATCGATGTTTCCTGTC